TATAGCACATAATACATGGTCTCTATGCGTTAAGGTTAAGAAACAGGGGTGTACAATGATTACATAAGAAATTCTGTTGTAATGTGTGAAGATAAATTTAAACAAAGTCAAATGAAGAAACCATATGTCACTATGACTAAGGAAGGTCATGATTTTAGTATTTACTGACTTTGATGGTAGGTAACATAATATATGTAAGTGTTTTGTGTTTTGTTTTGTTTTTTTGTGTTATCCTCGAAATTCTGTTTTTTCATGTTTTTATTATGTTTGTATTGTACGAGTTCCCAAATAAAAATTCAATCAATCAATCCATCAATCAATTATGTTTGATGCAATTTGATAAGTTTATAACAATCTTTGTAGGTTCTGGTGAGGAGGATGGCAAAGTTGGGGCTCCTTGTGGTGTAACCATTGAGATCGATGAACTATAATACTAGCAAGCAATCATAAACTACAATTATTTGAATGTTAGACAGCAAATTTACTATTTTTCATCGAGGAGAATTGGAATTACATAAAATATTCAATTTTCGAAAGTTTTTGTGTGGTGGCAATCTTAAATTTCAAAATTGCTGACCATCTACAATCCCTGTAGGTTTCGGTGAGGAAGACGGCAAAGTTGGTGTTCCTTGTGGTGTAACCAAGGATATGGATGAAAATATAATAGTAGCAAGCAATCATAAACTATCATTATTTGAATATTAGACACCAAATTTACCATTTTTCATTGATGAGAATTGAAATTACATACCAATTAATATTCGATTTTCGAAGGTTTGTAGTGGCAATCTTGAATTTCAAAATCGCTGCATCTTAGCTTTTCAAACTATGTTTATTGGCCTTAAAGGGCCCAAAAACATATGATTAGACCCGACCATTTTTCATAGAGAAATTATGTTCCATTATTTTTATACAGTGGCTGTCTTGAGTTTCCAAGTTTCTAGTTTTAGAAACATGTCTTATTGAATTCAGTGACCGATATGAAATATACAACAGACACCAGATTTACCCTTTCCGCTGAAAATAAATGAAGTTATGATCGAAAAAATGTGTTCCGCCCTTTTTCTTTAGGGTTTTTTGATTTCAACCACTTTATTCAAAAGGATAAAACATTCAAGGTGTCATATATCATGAGTTTTGTTTTTCAAATTAATAAGATAGGAATGGTGGGGACCAATTTGTAAATTTCCTTGCATCAAAAATGTATTTTGAACAGCTAATTGCTCTTCTCTTCTCCATGAGGTATCCCATCGCTCTCTTTGAAATATTTTTTCCACATAATATATCAGAACTTTTCCTTAATATAACTTTCTTATTAAGTGGCCAAGGGAGCCAACCTCAATAGTAACCTATTTTACCTCTTTGCATTGCCTAAGCATTGTTTTCGAATTGTGGGTTTTGCTCTATCGACAACAATATCAAGTCAATTTAATATTCATTTAGCCCTTGTATCTGGCTATGGTGTAGGACAATAGGTTGCCCTTTCAATGGTCCCCAAATCCACACGCAATCATCTTGTCCTTGGTTCATACCAAAGAACTTAAATAGCGAAAGAATGAGCTCTTCCAATGAGTGGAAGAAATATTTGTGACCATTTAACGGAGTGGAGAAACTAAGGAAATAAACAAACCCGAGCGGTGCCTTGGGTTTATCTGCCGATTAGAAAGGTACAGTACCGCTTAGAATTAGAACACTTTTTTGGACGCGATCGATGCATCAAACGTCCATTCAAACCATGTCCAAAATGCATCCATCCACGCCAACACAGTCAAATTTGGATGGGCTGCTGTCTACCCGATTGTTTACCAATTCAATAGCAGTGAATTAACAGTAACAGAAAATGGAGACACACGAACAGGTGTTTACAAATGGTGTGCATTGTTAATGATATACTCTCCTGGTATTCGTAAAGTGTCTATTTTGAAAACCTAAATAAAATAATTTTGCCCGGTCTAGGGTAGTCTACCTACATACTCTACCTGTTGTGTATACTCCACCCGATCTACTGTAGAGTGTACTTGATCAGAGGCCTAGCCTGGCATAAATGAACTACTGCTGTATTTGTTCAGGTCTCACCCAAACCATAAACACACCACACGCATGTTATTTATCATTCAGTATAGCCTATTATACTTTAAATAAAACAACCTCTGGTTTTATGTAAAAAATGTGTAGTATTTTTTCTATCACAAAAAGGAAATAAAACGAAACCTCTGTATTTTTACAAATAGACCATGGGTTGAGGATCGAAAACGTTCAATTCTGTTACCCACCGATCCAGGCTAACTGGCTTTTGCAAAAAAATGTCAACATAAAATGAATGTTTGTAAATTATTACATTATCATTTGATCATGCAGTTCAACATTGAGAGCCAAAGTTAACTACATTTAATTTGAAAAATTTAGTTCAAAACCCAAGATGCTTAAATGGTTTGTTTATTTTATTTTTTTTTGGCAGTTCAAACATGTTTATTAGTAATATTCTATTATTATTATTTTTTTTTTGCTTTATATAAAAATTTAAATGATAAAAATAATAGTGCTGTTTAGGTAATAAACAATTAAAATGAAAACTTGTTCTGACCAGCATACTTTCGAAGGTCCTAAATTTATTGTAAATTAATTTACGGCTTTAAATATTAAAATATTTTTACATGATTTAAGTTTCCTAATTGAATTTTAAGATTTTTTTTATATAAAATTAATTTATAACTTCAAAAATTAAAATATTAGTAAATGAATTAATTTCTTTAAATATTTAAGATTTTTTTTCCTATATTAAATTAATTTGTAACTTCAAATATTAAAATATTTTTACTTGACTTTTGTGATTTTTTCTTTCTATATTACTGTACACAACCTTACTTCTTTATTGAATTGTGAAAAGCAACAAATTTAGCTAGTGTACACCAATCTACAAATAAATGTTCAGTTACCTTCCTGTGGTCCCGTTCTAATATTTGCTTCTACCGCCTCACCAAAACCACTTGACGTATTTGCCTTTATTGTAAACATGTACATCACTCGTTCACCCAAATTCTCGACTTTTAACCAGTTATCGGTTCCCTTTGTTCTTATAGTGACAGTCGCCTTTTCACCTGTGAATTAAACAACATAACGTGATACGCATCTTGGAGAATAATGATCAAAAACAAGAACCACTTTGGAGAACTGTGCGTAAAGAAAAGGACCTTTACGCTAAGCCCCGCCCCTTGGATATTGTTGCCAAGGTCCACAAAAACGACAGTATAAAAACATATTCAAACATGTGCGTCTGTGGGACAATATGTATGATTGCTAGATGCACGCATATTCCTGATTCTGTTTTGATTGGTCAGTTAAGTTTGATCGACACTCCGGGAAGGTCAATTGCAGTAAAAAACGTATGGTGTACTTTTCCCGGTGAATTAGATGCGAAGCCAATTAAAAAAAAATTGTGTTGCCCAAGCACAAATTTTTATTTAGCCCTGTCCAGACTATCAAATATGTCCATATGCAGTCATGATGTGCCTATATATGGTCATGATGTGATGTCATCATGACCATATTTAGGTCACATGTTTTTGTCAAATTAAATTTGATAGACTGGACAGGGATTTAGATGTTTTCATGGTTTTGTTGACAATTTCAGCATATATTCTTTATCAGGATTGAACTTTGAACTTACCTGCAATTGTTGTCTTTGGCTGGTAGAAGACCTCATAGCCAAGTATCTGACCACAAGGCTTGGGCGGTGGCTCCCACGTGACATTCAACGTCGTCATACGAACAGTCTCAAATTTCAGTTCACCAACAACACCAGGTACTAGAAGATGTAAATGTAATATTCTAAACGTCATAGTGCATGGATGGATGGATGGATGGATTTACTCAAGTGTAAACAGCAAGGATAACCCACCCAGGGTCCTTCTGGTGGAGATTGGGCAGTGCAATGAGAGACAATCTCCTACCCTTTTCCAAATAGTGGACTGTGTTCCTTAACATGCACATTGGCCATAATGCACATGGGACCAACGGTTTAAACGTCTTATCTGAAAGAAGGTGCACTATCGTAAAAAAAAGAGCAGCGATGGAAATTGAACCACTGACCTAGAACCTCCACGGTTCAGCAAAAACACAGTGGCTACCACCAATTTAGCAGACAGAGCTAATCTGTAGACATGTGCTAAATAGATAACATGGTTAGTAGGATGGAGGGGAAGTTAAGCTGTTTATAGTCACATGATGAAATAAACCCGCTGCCGTAACAAGGTTCTGAATCCTTAGTATACAAGCCTATTGATATTGACTTACCATCTGGTCCAGTAGTACCAGTCGCTTCCTCGCTCAAAGGCCCATCACCGGCCACATTGAACCCTGATATCGCCACCACATACTCCGTGAAGCAGGTTAACCCGTCCAACATCAACCAGTTATTGGTCGTAGCAATCGTCCTCAGTAACTTTGTATCGTTCTTTCGTCCGGGAAGCCAGTAATGGACTTTGTAGCCCTGCAGCCCGCCATTTTGCGACTCGGAGGGCGGTGGAATCCAGGAAATATTGAGGGCGCTAGATCCGACAACTACAACAACCAAATTAGTAGGTGGTGCAGACGGTACTACAAGAAGAAATTATAAAACAATAAAAAATAATAAAATAAAAAATTTGAAATGGTGATGTAGAATTTGTATCACAAATTTACTTCCAACATAATTTTACAAACCACATTTTAAATTAAAAATTCTTATTCCTAATTTATAAAATTAGAAAGCATACTGTATTACAAAGATCATTTTCTTAAGTGAAAAATAATACAAGTGATAAATAAACTTGGTTACTAAAAATGCTATGTAGTACGTTTAGTATTCTTAGTAGTCATGGCTGGAAAAAGTGTGTGGTGGTGTGACCAGCATTTGGAGGGACCATGAATATCCTTGAGGCATTTTGGCAGAAAAAATTCAAACAAATAAACTCTTTGGTATATAGAGGTGCTGTAGGCATTTTATCATGACAATTTTCATGGTCGTGTTTTTTTTATTTTGCCAGGCCTGTTTTAGTATTAATGGTTTTTGGAAAAGCACTTGAAAAAATTTTTTACTGGTAAATTTGTCCATATAAAGCTAAGTACATGCCAATGTGAAGTATTGCCTCTTTTAAGTAGAGTTCAATGGCTTAAAAAAAACAATACATATAATCATAGCCTAGGCCTGGACTGGAATGATGTTCATTTATTGAAAGAAGGCCAGGCCAGCCAAGGCTACCTAGGCATAATAAGTGTCATTTTTTATTCTACCAAAACACAATTATTACTGGTTTGTCGGTTATTTTTACTAGTAAAATTGACGGCTAAAACAGCTTTAGGAGAACACTGCCAGTAGCATGCAGTAATAGTAGTACAAGTAGAAATAATAATATTGTCATATTTAAGTGCTTCATAATTTTCCGATACTTTGAAATATACTGTACCAAGCATAAAGTTGCTTATCAGCAGGGAAGATGGTAAACCAAGGATGGTGCTAATCCTTTAATTCCATAATGCAGTTATATAATACATCTTACTCTTATTAATGCCTTCTTGAAATCCTATAAGTAGTTCGAATATCGCACAGCAGCGATAATTTAATCCAACTAAAATGTGTGGTGCAAAAATGCAAAATGACCATTAATACATGAATGCTAAATCCAATCAACCATTACTAAAGAGTGTCTGCCTGAACTTCTAATACTCATTGTTTTCTAGCGTTGGAAGCTTCACTCAGGACTTAACGCAATTTGATAATGTGTAGCCTGTCTATGTGGTCCACATTCTGGCTACAGAGTAAATAATTGACATGTCTGAGCCAGAAATAAATTACGTAAGCAACTGTAGCCGACACTTGCGGTGACATAGTGACCACAAGTATGTGTACCAACGCATCATCAAAGATGCGAGTTTTACGCTTAGCTGGCTACATGATGCAGACGATATTCTACATAATTTAAAGCATAAGTCTACATGGTAAACGTCAATAACAGATTCTAAAAGTTAAGTGCATTTAGTCCATATTGTGTTGGAGAATTTAGAATTGTAATGCCACACTTGCATGCATGAGGAATTAAGAATAAAAGCTTATGTTTGAATCAAATTTCTGATTTATTCATTATTTTATTGCACATTTGATTAATAATTACTACTTTAAGTCCTTTCAAGAATATGTTGAAATTAGTCAAATAACTTACTACACATATTATATATTAAGATTTATTTTTTATTTTTCCATTTTCACTCTTAATATTTTAGAATGAATGCACAGTAAAAATATGACACCATTATACAAAGTAACCTTTATTAATGACATTTAAAATGAACAACTCAACTTACTTGCTTCTCCAACGAACACAGTTTCTGGAACGCTGTACGGACCATGTCCTTCGCTATTGTATGCGTCAACTTTGACTTCATATTCGACATAGCGTTCCAGGTTTGTCAGTTCATATTCAGTGACAGACTTATCACTGACAATTCGTTCGGTGAAGTCACCATCAGGGAGCTTACGGAAGGTTATGCGGTACCCTTGCAGCTGCCCGTTTAACGTATCAGATGGTGGTGGCTAGAATGAGATTGAAACGAAATTTGAATATCATATCATATATTTGCGATAAACACATGAAAAAACACAATGGTTTAGGTTCACACTGGAGTCTAAATATCTAGATCAAGAGCTAAATACAGTTCGTAAACGTGTGAAAATGCCTAATTGGTTAGCAGTAACCGTTACTATGAAGTGGATATGCTTACGGACAAGCTACAACAAAACAAGAGTTCCTTTCAGAATTATTTATAATTTATACTGCAAAAATCTACAAAATGCTTGGAGTAACATATGAGAATGGCATAGTCAAGCAAATAAAGAATAATAAAACATTGCTATACATGGTTACTGAAAGCATAGAAAAGATAGCTTTGTACATCGAGGGCAAAGTGCCAAGACAATACAAGAGTGCGACGCCAAAAAACGGATAAAATAATGGTGTTAAGACACCGTAACAATTTTTGAGACAATGTCTAAGCCTCCATTACCACCATCATCATTGCTGTCACCTTAGCCATTATCATTATTATCATTATCAGTGACATCATCTCATCATTATCATCACACTATAAGCATTTACCTGCCAAGAGATACGAATAGCGGTCGGTGCGTAAGGTACAACATTGGTAATAATTGGCTGTCCTTCTGGGACTGAAAATGAACACAAGAAAAAATATATCAATGATTATTTGTATTCATGCAATATTTTCATACAACATCCACAATATACAACATCAATACACTACACTTACATTATTATTCTATTGTTACAAATAAATACAATAAATTGTAGAATAAGAACATCACTTTTACAGAAACATGATGAAAGTTACAAGCCAACATAAAGACAGTTGAGCTAAGCTGTAAAAAAACACAAATCAACCTACATTGATATCAAAATGCATACATTAATACATTGACCCTATAACCTGTCTATGAAAATGTGATCTATGCAATAATTCACTTCATAGAAAATATAATGAATTTTATATGCGATAATATTTTGAAATTATTCAGTTTTGATCACCTTGGGAAAAATTGGATTAGGGAGAATGCATTCATGTAGACTGTTAGCTGCAGGTTGGTTTTTATGCTTGCTTGCAATGATAAGCAAGCAAACAAATTCTATTTAAGGTACTATCTTAAGGTCTGTCCAGATTACCAAATTGTCGGACTAAAAAACTGCTGCAGGCCCATATATAGTCATGATGTGATGTCGTCATGACCATATATGGCAAAACAAGGCAAACCAGTCACTCCTCGCAAATTGTTTTTCTGAGATAATGGTCAAAACATGTTGGAATTTCAAAATTTTGGAAAAGTTATTTTATTGCACTAAACTAACCTTTACATATCTATAATACATCATGCTATGTTATTATTTTCCCAATTTTCGTTCTTAAAACAACATTTTATTACGTTTTGGTGATGGTCTCTGCCTATAAGAAATGTCTGAAATTTGAACGCTGAATTTTCAAATACTGTTTTTTAAACAGCGGTACGTTTAAACTCCTATAACTACGTAATAAAATGTCAGATTTAAATGATTCTTTTACCATTTTATACCTTTATTTTACTGCTTAAAGCTGATAACTAAAAATCACAATTTTTTTGCAAGGAGAGAGTGGTTTGGCTCCTCTTGGCTACACATTTAGGAATTTCACATGTTTTTGTCAAATCAAATTTGATAGTCAAAACAGGGCTAAACAAATTATAATAAGGAATAAAGTTAAATAAATAAATGTAGGAAACTGCTTACTGTCTTGTCTGGTTGTGACAACACTTGAGCTGTCACTGTATGCACTGGGACCCACATCGTTAATAGCTTGCAGACGGAACCTGTAGTTTGTGTAAGGTAACAGACTGCAGAAACAAACAAATCATTATCAGATAATATGTAAGACAAGAAGAACAAAACCAAATGCAGTATTCAAATTATATCAAGATGACAATCAATGTATTTGATCTCTGTCCACACTAACATATTAATATGACAAATTTTTGTGATGTGCCCATATATGATAGATAAATGGTGACTTTCTGTTTAAGTGTATAAAAAGCGTGATGTTTTGTTACTTACTTATCGACTTTGTATGCCGTCAAAAGTGGACTAACGTTGGTAATATGGTCGGTGAAAGCGCTGCTACTGGATCCACTACTAACTTGGATGGTGTAGCTTCGCAGCGGTGAACGATTATCGACGTCAGCTTGCCAAGTAATGGGCACAGCACGACTTTCAACAAGGGCTTGGTTAACTATCGGCTTGGAAGGCTTTTCAGGAACAGCTGTTGAATGTATTATTTATTAAATCAATAAACAACTAGAAGTCAATCCATAGAGGGCATACGTTCACTTAAATATAGTACCAACAATATACAGGCTGTGTACGATGGGAGACACTGCATACCCTCAAGAAAAATAATGGATTTGCCAGTAGTATTCAGGCACATTGTTTTCTTGAGTGCTGCCTGAATACGAAGGGCCATTCCATATTATCTTTAACGCTAGAAGGTATAAAATCAAATTTCTATGATCTTCACCTCTGTTTTCTTTCGAAAATTGTAATATAAAATAAAAATAATAATGATATTTGTTCACTTATATAGCGCATATTGTAGAGAACTCTATAAGCTTGTAGCATTATTACCCCCGGTCATTGAATCAAGCACATATGGAACACATACTCAGGTCCCTTGGGAGAATTCCATTATGTTGCAACTGTAATCAGCGCATGGTTGTGTTTCAACCTACATGTACTCTTGGGTGGAGAGAGATAACCATCGGTAAGGTCCCTCGCCCAATGACACAAGCGACTTGCACAGTGCGAGTTTCGAACCCCTGATCTGGTTGGCAGTCCAAGCCACAACCGATGCGCAAACCACTTCTAATTTGAAAGGGATCTTTTTTCGACATTATATTCGTTTCCTCTAAATTTCATGATCCATTCATTAGTTTTTGTATAATCTTGCTAACAGACAGACAGACAGCGGTGCATACATAACCTCCTTGGCGGAGATATTAAATATATCAATCAATCAATTACGGCTTGGTTAAGCCGCTTTAGGATGAATTATTTAATCAATCACTTATTTTATTCATTTCATTCATTTGTCTATTCCATATGTGTTCATTCAATTGTCCCTAAAAAAATAAAACTATACTATAAAGTATTTGACGTTTGCTATATCAAATTAATACTATACTTATTTTCAGATAATTTCTATTAATTAATATGAATTATCTGCCTGACGGAGTTGCTGTCTTCATTATTAACCAGTTCAAATGTATTCTGGATAAGCACTGGGCTAACCATTCACTCAAATATGGATCTGTAACATCGAGAGGCATTTTCCGCAACATTATTTTACAACTTAGCGTATCCTTTAAATTAAATAATTTTGGAAGTTTTGCTGCCGTATTAACCCCAATAACAATTATCTAACTTATGTATATAATTGTAAAACAAATTTGATTTCTTTTGAACCAAAAACAAAATCAACATACATCTATCGTTTGTTGTGTATACGAGTACTTCAGCTGGTGTTCCCAAGCCCAGTCCTGTCTTAGCGGTTACCGTGAACAGATACATCTGGTTAGCAGTTAAGTTATCTTTGTTGTAATATTTCCGCATTCCAACATCCATATTGACGATTTCAAAGTCATCTGCACTCTGAAGCCGGTAACCGACTTCATACCCGAGAATAATTCCATTCGGCTCTAGTGGAGGGTCCCACTCGACACGTACGGAATTGATCGTGACAACGGGAAAAAGAACATTGGAAGGAGGTCCAGGAACTGAAAACGAAAAAGAAGTTATTAGATAGTATTATAATAACTCCTGTGGAGTATTAGTATTGGTGTCCCTTGACGATTTAGTTTCATTCATAATGACGCCGCCTCCGGCTAGGGGAGATCATGATGGATTACCCCCCTCACGCCGTCAGCATTCTCACCTAAATGTATCTCATTAATCAGAAACCTACGGCAACAGGTTAAAAGATTAATTAGGCCCTCTAACAGTCGCTCTATACCATACATCCCTAAACCTTCCAGGTAAAACCGATTTTTTAATAAATTCCTTAATTCATTCACATCATTGCAAATTTTAAAATAATTTATCATCAATCTGTCTATTACAGAGTAAAGTTAACAGTGTTTTCTTCTGAAATCGATGCTATTCTGTCATTATTCATTAAGCCTGATATATATGCAGTGTAAATTCTAAAAATGTCAATACACTTAATCATGATATAAGTCATCATCTTGTATTTTGAAATGCATGACTATGTCAAAGGTCATGACATATACACACTGTACACTCATACAGCTTACACTGTTTTCTTATCTGCATTTTGATAAACCGTCATTACTTTAGTTTTTTTTTCTAGTTCTACCAGAATAGGAGAGGCCCGAGTCCTGCGATGGCAAGACTCAACTGGTGCTGGAAAAAGTACATTTTGACAGATCCCTGGTCAGCGACGAGGGCGTAACCCCATATTGCGGTTTTGGGTGCTGGCTTGGCATGCTTTTGCTTGTTTTTCCAATTACTGTACATCTGTTCACTTGCTTTTGTGCATAGAGACCCTCGTATTTTGCACAGTATAAATACATAACCTTTAACCTTTATTGTCTTGCTAGGTGCCTTACCATCTTCAATTGTGGACTCGACAATAGCGTTGCTCGGTGTACCATCTCCAATGCGTGTATATGCCAGAACCTGTATGCTGTATTCAGTATAGCCTCGTAAATTGTTCAGCTGGACAAATCTGTTATCATAGCCTGGAACATCCATAATGTAGAAATTGGCAGCATTTGAAGTTTCCTGGTACAATACCTATTGTTCAAAAAACAATGTTTT